TATTCAATTCAATTCAAGTTTATTTGTATAGCGCTTTTCACGATACAAATTGTTGCAAAGCAGCTTTCCAGAAAATTACGTTTCTACAATATATTTAGTAGTAGCTTATCAGTGGATGTCAGTTAATGAACATAAATTATTTGTAAATTTTGTGAAATCATGAAGATTTAATTACATTTTTTTAATTTCACAATATTTTGTTATTATGTATACATGTTATATAAAAATGTAATAAAAAATCTAATTCTATCTAAAATACCTAATGAAAGGTATTTGTATGATTTCTGCACACACCTGTGATCCACTCCTGTCTCTGTCTGGAGTCGGGCGCGCTGATCTCGAAGGTTTTATTGAGCGTTTTGACACAGAACATGCATCTCTTCCCGTCTCGGTCCGACAGCACCTGTGGATCACAGTCAGACGCCGCGTCACACACAGAAACGCTCCGGACGCAGACGCAGAGACGAGCGCCGTACCTCCACACAGCAGTTCTGGTCCATCTCGATGACGCCCTTACAGTCCCTGCAGTCCTCGCTGGTGAAGTATGAGAGCGAGCCGGGCTTCAGACAGAACCAGCGCTCCGTCCAGTTCCTGCGCAGGTTACCCTTCTTCCACAGATAGCCCTGAAACAGGGGCGGATTTAGAGAATTGGGGGCCCCAGGCAAAATATAGGAATGGGGCCCTATACATTTGCACACATTTTCCTAGATCAACCTTGAGGTTCCTTTTGTGTTGTGATGCTTGCTGCTGCACAATGGTGCCTCATAGTCGTGTACAGTGTTTCTACATTTTTCTTGGTCTGAACAAAAACTGCAGACTGGATTATTGAAAATGAACATCCATTCTCTGCCAGCAGGAGGCGCTTTTGGAACGTCAGAAATATAGTGTGAATAATAAAAGTGTGAAAAAATATAGCCAATATTGACGAGGAAAGTCCACTGATGAGTTACCACCGTGAGCCTGTGTGCAAAGGCTGTCTAATTCTAAACTTTAAAATACATTGATTTTTAGTT